ACCGATATAATAGTAGCATTCAATCTTTTTAACTCCTTGATGAAATCAATTGAGATTGATAACCTTAACACAACGGTTTCGGTTTAACCAACAAAATTGATCCCTCTTAAGTCTATTAACCACGACCGTGCATTAATAAACCGAAGTTACTTACTTGTGAAACCAAATAAAAGAAAATAATTGCCTTTCCCCGGCAATGGCGTCAAATTTGACGTGCACTTTGTCGTGAGGTGCACTCAAAATAATTACAATACAACACTAATACGTAGTATAGTGAAGTAAGGTTCGTATCCACAGGGAAAGGAACACTTTTCTTCTATGTAAATAGTAATAAGGGGGGCTTTCAGTTTGATTTGATTTAATTCAATTAACACTAAGATAAACAACCTATATGAGTTTAATTAATAGATGTGGAGGCTTGGTTTTGCTTTTATCCACTTAATGAAATGTTCGTCGATCCCGGTTATATCTTTAACTATCTTCCTCTCGAATACTAAATCGAGGAGTATATCCAGTTCATCGAGGGTAGTTATTAATAACGAGATGCGTTCATTAATAAAACTTACTATCGAGTCAATATAGAACAAGCGCCGTATATTAACTTGATAGTAGCAATAAACTTAAGATGAAAACGATTGAGATTGATAACCTCAACACAAGCGGTTTATTGGTTTAATCAATATAATTAATTCCCCTTGGCATATTAACCATGAGATGCATGCATTAATATTCCAAGTTTACTACCGTTGAAAGAACCGGATTAATAACAAGCGTATTAACCGATCGATTCTAGTAATAATTAATATGAGAAACAATACTAGTTGATACTTTAAGTAATGTTTAAAATATTAACATGAAATATGAATAAGAATTAATTAATACTCAAGGAAGAATATTAAAGAATATGAATCCTACTATGATTAATATCAAGATGTTAACTAATTCTCATCTTAGTAACACTCCCCAATATTAACATAGAGGAAGAAATAGCTATTACTATAACCAATGTCAAGATGTTAACTAATTGTTATCTTAGTAACACTCCCCAACTTTGATATAGAAATAGTATTTTAAAGGAAGAATTAATATTCAAGGAAGAAGATTAAAGAAAATAACTCACAACTTACAAATTCATTAAGCTTCAAAGTAGCAAAACCAAGATGGAAGAGTTTAGCTCCTCATTTGGAGACTAAACATGATGAAAAATATAAAGAAAGAACTATTCTATACTGAGCTTAGAAGTATGGAAGAAGGGATGATGAAAAGTGAAGGAAAATGGGGTTATTTATAGGTGTTTTCAACACCTAATGCCGGATACCCGGCCGGGTATTTTGACATACCCGACCGGGTATTTACCAAATCAAATATTTTCCCATGTTTTTGTGTCTTCTGCACGTTCTTTGGTCCGAAATCACTTCATACCTGACCGGGTATATGGAATACCCGACCGGGTATTTGCTAGTTTTGCAGCAATTTCCTTTGTCACTTCATACCCGGTCGGGTAAAGTTCATACCCGACCGGGTTTTGCACAAAACTCAGGTTTCTTCATCCTTTTTGCTTCCAAACCTATCCTAAACTTATAGCCAAACTAACTACAACTTACAACAAACAATAAAATGCTAGAAATACGATTACAATCAAATGCAAACTAACAACTATAAACTTGCACAAAACTAGTAAATAAACATTACAAACAATAATAAAAATGTATACTTAGGTACTAACAACTAGTGCCTATCACTCTTGTCTCTTCTTCTCTTCTCTTTCCTTCTTCTCCATTTCGGCTAAGATTTTGCATGTAAATGCATGGTTTCCATAGACCTTGCTATGGAAGCAAAAATTTGGAAAGGTTTCATAGATAATCTTTTGGAAATGGAACCTCCCATTCGGCAATCTCACCTTTAAAGTGAGAGGAGGTGGTTTAGAAGCATCCACCTCAATAAGAACTCTTGCATACTTTGATATAGCCCGTTCTTGAGTGACCCTATCCGTAGTTAAGGGCACACCCACTCTTGAAGTTATCTCGCTTACAACATCCTCATTCCATATTTGCAAAGGAAGATTTGGGAATTTCACCCAAATTGGAACCTTAAGGAATTCATCACTTTCAAAGGAAAAATCCCCCGAGAGTGTTTTGAGGTAAAGTGACTTTCCAAATAGCGTATATGGACCTTCCATGAGGACTTTAGATCTGTCCTCCTCCCCTTGGAACTTGAAGATCACCCAACCTTTGTCATGGGTTCTTACTTTGCAAGGAACACTCCATTTAGAGACAAGTTCTTGTATAGGTTTGAAACCGGGGTATCTTCCCGCAAAGTAACCTACGAGGCAATGCCCCCAAATTTCCACCATAGATGGCAGTATTCTTTGATGAAAATCAACATAATCACCAACTGGTTCAATAAATCTCAGCTTCATACCTTTTGTGGGCTCCCTATTGTCCTTGAAAAGTGAAGCAAATGGTTGTTTGACCACTTTGGATGTTTCGGTTTCTTTATGTACTAGGGATTTGTCCAAGGCAGCAGCATATAGATCATTTGTACTCACCTCCTTTTGGGTTTGTGGTTCAATAACATCCCCATCAATGACTCCTTTCAATGGCTCATTATCAATCAAAACAACATCCTTAGTTCCCCCACCTATAGGCTTCTCCAATTGACCAACATTTTGATCTTTCATCACAATTTCCTTGTTACATTTTTGCACGTCAATACCTTGTTTTAAAGGGGGTAAAGAAGTAACCTCAGGATCAGGAGGTTGGACAGCAAATTCAGGTTGAATTGGCTTAGAAGACCCCTCAGAATCACTAGCATGAAAGTTCAAATCAAGTTCCGAATCACTCATTTGGTCCATAGCCGAGAGGGCATCTTCCACTTCCTTAGTTTTTGCCTTTGCTTTGAACCTTGAAAAGGACTTCGTTGGATCTTGGGGCTCCTTCTTCTTAGCCGTGGACTTAGGCATAATGATTATAGGACAAACAATAAACCAAAACTTCAAACCATGGAAGGGGTAGCTAAAAATAGCAACCACTTCTAAAACGGGAAACTTTGTAGTTTTGTTGTGTTATGAGCTAAGAATCCGTACCAATGGAGTCGGCAATGAACAGTGGCTTGTTGTACGGCCTAGGTTGATAATGAAACAAAGTTGATATGCTTAATACCCTTCCCAAGGCGAACCTCAATCCATGCTCAAAACGAAATTTGGCCAAGTAAATGTTGAGTTACATGCGTTGACCTTTTGAGTGAATAGTGTTTGTGCGAACTGTTTTTCGAGGAAGAAGGATGGATATCCAAGATATTACACCCCCAAGAGTTGTAAGGGTAATATGAGAGATATCCAAGCTTTGTATGGTGGAGGAGGTGGTGGTTTGCGGTGGTGGAGTGGTGGTTTTGGTCGAGAAGGAGCAAAGATGACCGTTGGGTCTCTTTGGAGAGAAGAGCTCTCAACCCTCTCTAGAGAAAACGTTAGGTTGCGCAGGTTTTTTCAGGCGCTCGTTTTTGAAAAATAATTGTTGTTCATGGGGATTGAACTCCTAACGTGCAACTCCATGTGTAACTACAATTCCACATCAGCCAATCAACTATTAATTATTTCTTTTATTCTTTATTCATGGAATGGAAATACTATGATTAAATTTTAAAGCTTTTGGCGGCATACTTATTGAGCACGATTTAGCTAACAAGTCTGAGTTTGATTTTGATCAAAGGCCTGCCTGCTAGTTATCAAGGCGTCAAGCTGGGCAAGTGGGCATCATTGCAGCAGGAAAGCCGAAGCAACCACCAGGCACCAACCAGATTTGAGAAGGGTTGAGGACTTGAGGGTGGGCACCGCCGGCTGCCGCACTGGCTATTCTGTTTAAGGATTTCAGCCTGTCATCCTTCAGATGTTTTTGTTCTCTGTTCTCATTCCTAGTTCATACTTTTTAATTGTTAATTTGGATTCATCTACATCTTATAAATTACCGTTTAGAAATTGATATTTGAAAATGCCTCCTAGAATTAGAAAATATGAATCTGGATATGAAAAACGAATGAAGAAAAAAAAACAGATGAGTTTATTTTATCTCAAAAAGGAGCTTTAGAAAAATTTGTTACAAGAGAACCACAAAGTGTTTTTGCTAATGAAAATATATGTGCTAGTAGTGGTGCTGATGTTGATGATATTGTTAACTTTTTGCTATACATATAGTTTTTGATGATATTGTTAGTATTTTTTGTATTAAATATTAGGGTCTCCTATTTTTCTTTTGAACAGAGCCTCTCATTTGTCAGGACCGTGCGTGTAGTCACCATATTGAAATGTCAGACCCGTATTTTGAAGATGTGTAAATGTCACCCCTCAAATTTCCAAATTGTTGTAAATGTGGTCCTTTGAAGGGTGAAATGTACTCATCGCACACATTGTACATTTCACCCCTCAAAGGATCACATTTACATCAATTTGGACAATTGAGGGGTGACATTTACAAACTGAAGAACATAGGTCTGACATTTCAATATGATGACTATTTCAGGGACTAAAAATGTGATTTCCCCCTTCATATAATATCAAATGTAAACAATCAAAAGGAGTTTCAATGTTCAATTAATTTACGCAAACAGTGAATTTGTTTTGTTTTTAATATTTCTTTTATTAAAGAAGTGTCAAAGTGAAATATCATAAATTTAATCTTTTATGTCTATCTCTCAAACTCTAAAACCCATAAAATATCGTCATTTTTCATTTGTTTCTGTGTTTACCTTTTGGAGTAATTTGAGTTTGCACCTTATTTTATTATTCAAATTGAATTTTGTACTCCTGTTTTAAAAATCTTTATAATCACATCCAAACCTGTATGAAAAGATAAAATTGTCACTCTATTAACGATTCTGTTGGCCTTCAACAATTTCTGATCGAGGAACATTTTTGTCTTCTCATACGAGTTTGAGGTGTAAATAAAAAGATTTAAAAAAACGGGATACAAAATCTAATTTGAAGAACGGGAATATGGGAAACAAATTGCTCTTTACCTTTTGGTGTTGCTTTCCTTCTTTCCCAAATTTGTTTTCTTTTTCGATTTGCATCCCATTTCGTATTTGACCCACCGCTCATAGCCGCCTCCCTCGATACTTTCTTTCACCTCCGCCGCTGCCGTCCCGAACCAGAGTTTTCATCACTTCAACTGACGAGCAAGCTCTTGAAAAGTAATTTGCTGATTCAGAAATATCCTTGCCGCCACATCCCACTGTAATTTCTTCATGTTCTTCTTGTTTTTTTTTCATTCCGGCTTACTGTTCCTAGACACGTGAATAGAAATATATGGAATAGAACTTGAAGGATTTGTTTATACTTATCTGATTGTTGCATATCTGAAAATTTGAAATACTCCGTATATATAAATGGTTGTTGATTAATACTCCTTAACTCGCTTTTGCCCCCTTCTGTCTACGGTCTCTTACTCATGATTCTATAGGTTTGGGAATTTATGATTTGGGGTTTAAAGGGAATGAATATATGATGATATTATTGATTGAAGATCATGTTTTAATTCTCTAGCTTAAGTATCACCTTGGATTTGCAGAGTTATGTGTGGAAATTTCTTGATGGAATTTGAAGTTTTGTGATTGTATTAGCAAAAAAGTTTGCCCAATTTGAAATGGAGAACCCTAACAGACAGATGGGTAGTTTGGGGGTGAATAGGACGGGGAAGAACATAAAGAAGAGTCCAATACACCAACCCAATTTCAGCCACCCAAACACCGGAGGTTCTTCTAGGCCTCAACCCCAGCCCCAAGTCTACAATATAAACAAGAATGATTTCAGGAGCATAGTTCAACAGCTGACAGGGTCACCTTTACGTGAACAAATCCTGCCCCGACCACCCCAAAACTCACCCAAACCACAAAGTACAAGGTTGCAAAAGATTAAGCCTCCCCCTTTGACGCCCATAAACCATCCCCGGATTCCTGTCCACCCGTCGCCCCCACATCAATATGGGCAACCACCATTCATCCCAACTGATGTTTGGGGAAATCGGGCAGAGTCTCCCATTTCAGCTTATATGCGGTACCTACAGACTTCAATTGTAGACCCAGTGGGGCCTACTAGGCAAGGGAACCCATTGCCATCTGGATTGTTTCCTAATCCTCATTTACCTCCACCTGGTCTATCCCCTAGATACAGTCTTCTGTCCCCACGGATCACTCCTCTTCCTTTTCCATCTCCACAGGGACTACCATTTCTGCCCTCCCCAACTTCTCAGTTCCTTATGCCTTCCCCTTCAGCGGGGGGTTTCTTCAATTTGTTGTCCCCCTCCCCGCAGTCACCTTATCCATTGCTTTCCCCGCCAGGCATTCACCAACCCCCGCCATTGTCACCTAATTTCTCTTTTTCTTCAGGAGGCCAGACAGGTATTCTTGGTCCTGGGCCCCATCCTCCACCCTCTCCTGGTTATGGGTTTCCGTTGTCCCCTTCTGGATTCTTCCCCCATACAAGTCCTAGATGGAGGGTTTAATAGGATTAAGAGCCCACCCATTTTGGTTGAAGGGCAAACTGAACCTGCTGAATTTTCTGAAAGGAGAAGTGTTGGGTAAATCGGATTTCACTCAAAGGATACTTTTATTCAGAATATGCTGATTAATGTGGCGAAACCGGGTTTAAAGGTAACACTTCTGTATTCTCTTACGGACATCGGATCATTTTAGATACACTACCAAACAGGGAGTGTTTAAGTATAAGGTCCTCTCAAAAGTATGTATTCTGTTTCATTCAATTTGGTTTATGTTTTACCAGTACTATTCAGGAGCATATGTGGAATCGGTAGCAGTTGTAGCAGCAGTTGTAACCCACCAGTTTATTCCGGATGTAATTTGTGAGGATGTAGGATAGTGGAATTTATAGATGCATGTGATCCTCTTTATATTCATTCAGTGAAATACTATTGAATTGTATTTGTCTTTTAACTTTTTACATTCCATATGTACATGGAAAGTGTTGTCCTTTATTTGGCGCATTTCATAGTATTTCATAAACCAACTGCAAGGCCGAGGGCCCTCTTGTCAAGGGAAAAGCCTTTATATTAATATACTTCTGAAAAGAGGGGTTAAATGCATTAAATCTCTAGTGGTTTAAGCAAGGTAGTCAAAGTCGAAAGGCGCACCTGAAGCGCTAGGAGTCTTCTAGTGCTTGAGGCGCAAGGCGCAAAAAAGCGCTCGTCTGACTCGGGTGAAGCGCATTACTTATATAAAATCACATATACTATTCTATAATTACCAAATATGATGTATGTAACATCATATTGAACCAAATGCATATAAAATCCAGGATTCACCAAAATAAAGTCATGATTTACAAAAAATAAAACACCAAATTCAGAATTTATGGCTTTAATACTAAAACTATAAGTAAAAGGCAATCAAATTGGAGCCTATTTCCCCTTGTTAAACTTGTGAGCCTACATAGTACTATTACTTTATTAATAACATAGCAATATACTAGTGCTGTGTGTAACATAGAGTAATAAAGAGTATTATGACTATTATATACAAAGCAATATACTAATGTTGTGAGTAATATAGAGTGATACTGAGTATTACTACTTATTACTTTTTAATATACATAACAATATACTAGTGCTATGAGTAATATAGAGTAATGCAGAGTATTAATACATTATTATGAGTAATATAGTGTATTATATACATAGTAATATACTACTCCCTCTGTCCCAGAATTTGCTTCCATAGTACAAATGACACACGGATTAAGAAAGTGGGAATTGTGTGGTGGAGAGTTGTGCAGAGGAGAGAGAAATGTGTAAGAATGTGTAAGAATTGATGTGAATCACAAATCCTTTGTCAAAAAGGGAAAGAGAAGTTCTTGTTGGGACAGACGAAAAGGGAAAGTTGGAAGTAAATTATGGGACGGAGGGAGTAGTACTTTATTATATTGTGTTATATAGTATTATACATACTCCCTCTGTCCCAATTTGATTTGCAAAATTTCCTATTTTGGTTGTCCCAAAATGATTTTCCACTTGCTATTTTAGGTATTTAAATAAGAATAAAATGACAAATTTACCCTTACTTTTACTTTTTTCCCATTAACTTAAAAGCATCTACTTTTAGAAAGATGGACAAAAGTGTAAAAAACAAGTATCATTTATTGTCATTCTTTAATCCTTGTGCCTGTCAAAGTTTGCAATTCAATTCGGGGCGGAGGGAGTAGTAAATAAAATGGAAGATGAGGGACAAGAATGCTTACTTCGATTGTTGAGCAGTTTACGTTATGTGTTATGTGTTTAGCTTAGGTTAAGTTGTTTTGACCTGATTTACATGGGCTTTAGTAAAAAAATGGGCTTCTTAATGGTCTTGTTTGACCGCACGTGTGAAGTAAAACCGGAAATAAACTCTCCCTTCTCATGCGCGTTCAGCGAGCGCTTTATAGAAGGGAAGGTGCGACTGGCCATCCATAGGGCATTGGACCTCTTTAGCGCTGCGCCTGCTGCGCTTAAGCGCTCAGGCGCACGACTTTGACAACCTTGGGTTTAAGAATTCTGTGCATTTGGTCCCATGTGATTTAAAAATGTGCAGACCTCCAATTGTGTTTGGGGAATTATATGCAATAAATGTATCAATTAATTAGCTCTTGCAGTTGGAATTATACTTCATTCGGTGCTTTCATTGAGAGTCGATCTACGATCTCGTTCTCGTTTGTATTGATGGTAGGATCTCACACACACTAATCATCGTGTTGGCAGCCATGATGGTGAACCGTATTCAAGATTACAGATCTCGTTCCCACCAAAGTGATTTTCTATGATGTAACATAGATGCACTTGTAGCTAAATCGCCATTGAATGAGGCCTCATGATATCTCGTTCCCTCCGTCCCAGATTTATTTTCGGTTTTGACTGGGCACGGAGGTTAAGAAAAGGCACTTTTGTGCTTTGACTTTCCACTTGTGCCCTTGAGATATTTCGGCCAACAAAGGGGGTAATTCTCCAAAAGAATGGGGTAATAAACAGTACACTAAAAAGGTAGCAGCTTTTGACTGCAACAAACAGTACATCAAAACAAAAGTAGCGGTCAGGATAAAAAACAAAAGTAGTGGCGGGAATTTACAATAATTTGTCCACTTCCCTCCCAAAAAAACTACAGATTTCAGTCTATATCTATATATACGACCAAATGTTTCTCAAAGTAGCTTAAGTACAAAGAAGAAGATGTAAGGTCAAAGACATGGCAGAAATAGTTCCAAAAAAAAGAGGTTGTCCAATGAAACAAGGCAACGAATCATGCAGCATCTTCTCATTAACTGCACAAATGGTAGGCTCAACAGAGGAGTACTAACTGCACTTGCAACAGAAAATGATGTGTCACAAAGGTGTATCTCATTCATTTGGAAGCAAATAAAGAAATGTGAGATGGAAGGTTTACCTATTAATGTGGACAAACAGATGGCTGGAAAGGTAGGCAGAAAAGCAAAGATTCTACATATTACTCATGTTAAGGAAATACAGCTTGATAAAAGAAAGAATATCAGGAGTCTAGCTGCAGCTATGGGATTTTCAAAAAGTACAGTGCACAGACTCATACAAAAAGGTGACTTAAAGGCACACACAAATGCTATCAAACCCTTTCTTACTGAGTCAAACATGATTAAGAGACTTGAATGGGTCATTTCACACATTGTCCCAGAATCAATGTTAACAGAACTAGTGTTTGAGCCCATGTTTAACTATGTTCATGTAGATGAAAAATGGTTTTATATGACCAAAACCTCAAATAGGTACTACCTGCTTCCAGGGGAAGAGGAACCTCACAGGAGTTGCAAGTCCAAGAGGTTCATCACCAAAGTGATGTTCCTCTGTGCTGTTGCTGAGCCCAGGCTATCAGAAGACTCACAAGTGTTATTTGATGGGAAAATTGGTATTTTTCCCTTCACATCATTCGAGCCAGGAAAAAGAAACAACAAAAACAGAATTGCATGGACAATTGAAGAGAAGGCAATTGAGAGTGCCACAAAAGATGTTTACAGACAATGCCTAATCAGTAAAGTTCTGCCTGCCATCAAGGCCAAGTGGCCAATTGATGCATCTGGGGACATATATATACAACAAGATAATGCCAAGCCACTTATAAGTCCTAATGACAGTGAGTTCATGGAGGAGGCTACTAGCGGGGGATTTAACATCAAACTATCATGCCAACTACCTAATAGTCCTGATGTGAATGTGCTAGACCTAGTCTTTTTAGAGCAATTCAGTCCTTACAACAAACAACGGCAACTTCAATAGTTTCAAAATTGGTGGCAGGGGTGAGGAATGCATTTGAGGGCTTCAACCCTCATACTTTGAACAAGGTATGGGTATCACTACAGCTGTGTATGAATGAAATTTTGAAAGCTAAGGGTGGGAACAACTACAAATTACCCCATATTGGTAAGGACAGATTAGAGGGGATGGGGGAACTACCAATTTCAATGAATGCAGACACAACAGCAATGAAAGAGATGCTACAATCATTGGAGTTTGTTAATGCTCAGGAGTAGGTTGCAAATAGATGGTTTTTGGATGAACACGATACAAGGGTTTTTGTTTAAAAGTAGACAAGGCACTAATGTTTTTGGGTTTTTGGGGTTTTGTATGTACTAGCTACAGACAGACAGTTTTTTGGGTTTTTGTCTTTTTGGGTTTGGGGTACAAATATAGATAATGTACACAAACAACATTGTCATAAGCTATGATAGCATCTTGTCTTATCTTTTGAATATACAAGCAGACTTTCATCATTAAGGCATCAACAAATAGGACTCTTAGACTTTATAACAGCATCACAGAATCCATAGAGGGCTGCCTTAAGCCTTCCTAGGATTAGCCTGGTTGTTTAAGGCAGTCCTCAGCTAGGCAAACACTTTGGCATCAACAAATAGGACTCTCAGAATTTAACACAGCATCACAGAATCCATAGAGGGCTGCCTTAAGCCTTCCTAGGATTAGCCTGGTTGCTTAAGGCAGTCCTCAGTTAGGCAATCACTTTGGCATCAACAAATAGAACTCTCAGACTTTAACACATCATCACATAATACATAGAGGACTGACCTAAGCCTCCCTAGGATTAGCCTGGTTGTTTAAGACAGTCCTCAGTTAGGCAAACACTTTGGCATCAACAAATAGCACTCTCAGAATTTAACACAGCATCACAAAATACATAGAGGACTGCCCTAAGCCTTTCTAGGATTAGCCTGGTTGTTTAAGGCAGTCCTCAGCTAGGCAAACACTTTGGCATCAACAAATAGGACTCTCAGAATATAAAAGCAATCACAAAATCCGTAGAACATTGCCTTAAGCCTCCATAGGATTATCCTGGTTGCTTAAGGCAGTCATCTCTTAGGCAACAAGGGCACACACATAGGCATCCACAAATTGTCCATAACAGGACACATATATCAACATTTGTGCAAATGAAAACATGCATGCATCATGTAATGGACATCACAAGTCCATGCACCAACATAAGAAGATGAAATGATTAGTAAGTAGGGATGTACGACCTTCTTTTTTTGTAAAGAGGTAGTCATATTTTAATCCATTCATCGAGGTGCTGTTAAACTTTTGGGTCTGGATGCGGAGGAAGATACACAGGTGGAAAATACTCCCCTGTCGTTGTATCTACAGGAAGAAGGTAAATGGAGGCCATGCTCTCAATGGAGGTTGGAATCCTATTTTCCATAGTGTCCGACTGCAACCCCTCTGGTAATCCTTCAACTTTCTGCCCAACATCGCTCCAATCTCCTTCTTCACCGTCTTCAACCCTCATCAATGTGAGATCATCTTCGGAATCAGGGACAACATCGGGCCAAGAAGAGACATCGTCTGAGTCTTCAACCAGCGCACACCCATGCAAGACGAAGATAGAGGTTTTTTCCGCCATTAATGGATTTAGAATTTCAAATCTGGTGTCGGTGGAGAAGACTTCACAAAGGTTTCACAAATCCGAAGATGGCAACTAGGGTTGATGAACATAGAAAGGGGAGATGGAGTTAGAGGCGAGAAGATGAAAGT